TAAACACATCAATGTTTCGAACGGATTCCCAGATGAGGATGTGTGAAACCTCTGGAGAATCGCTGTTCTGAGTTGTCCCCAATCAATAGCAGGATTTCGAGATTCCCGCCATTGGAACCAGTTCAACGCCTTGCCTTGCATGCAAATCGAAGCTGCCTTAATCTGTTCTTCCGGAACAATTTGATTAATCTGGAAATATCTCTCTGCACGATAGACCCAGCCATAAGTGTCTTCCCCTATAAAATAAGGAACCTCCAAACGTCTAAGACGATCTTCATCTCTCACGACTCCTCCATTATGTCCTCCTCTGTTTCGCTTTCGTCGCCACGGTTACGATTGTTGTTCCCTGAGTTGTTCTCGCGTTGGTCCACTCGATCTAAGTAGACTAACACAGTTTCCCTTAATTATCTCATGGATTCTGTCATCTCATCCATTCTTCCTTCCATATTTGTCGTTCTCTGTTCCAACGATTCAACTCTTCCTTCCATTCTCGTTAGGATTGACAGATGATCTCCAGGAAAGGGTGTTTTGAATCAATTCATGAACCATTCAATGCTCCAAGGATCTGAAGCTTTGATACCACACAATTCAGTGGTGAATTGAATAATATTCTTCATTCCTATCTTCTCCTACCCATTACTTGGCTTATATTTCCCTTACGCAGCTGTACCTTCTCTCTCCTCTAACAAACTCCTCGTGTCTACATCTCAATTCGTTATAACCAACGTTGCATTCTTCCTTGTATCCACTATTGGATTCTGATTAGTCATCCCTATGTTTCTCTTTGTATCAGCTATTTGATTCTCTACATTAACTCCTGGATTCACCTCGACAGGCCCAATCCTTGCAGCCTTCAACTTTGGACTAACTTACTCAGACCCCACATTTGCCTTCAACTTTGGACTAACTTACTCAGACCCCACATTTGCAGCTTGCATGTCCTTTGCTGGACTCTCTACATTAAGCCCAACTGGACTCTCTACATTAGGCCCAGCTTGCCCCATTTTTCCTCTCCTTCTACTATAGACCTTTTTCAGCCTCTCACCATACTTCAAGCATATCCATTGGCTGGACTTTTAGCCCAGATATATTACTAGTATATACTTCAACTCAAACTACTTGACTCAAGCTTTAACTTTATGTATTGAGAAGGTCTATAAATATTTTTTCTGGTTGAACCATATCTCAAGTTCACAACCCTGACTTAAATGATAGCAAAACATAATTGATTGGGAATCTTGTGTCAATGCTGTTTCTTTTATTTATTTGAAATGGGTGGTGGTGGTAGCATGTACAGATCTGTTTCCTGCACGCTGAATGCCAAAATTTTGTATGCAGACATTTTCAAATGACATGACTGGAATGTACAGTTTCTATAAGCATCTTATAATAAATGCAGGAATGACATGATATAGACACAAGAAAAAAAATTTGTGCCTTCAGCGATGTTCTATGAAACAATCATGTTTGTCAAACTCATAAGTCAACTCCTAGGATGTTCTATGAACAATCATGTTTGTCAAACTCATAAGTCAACTCATAGGCTCATACGAGTTTATGTTTCCAGGTTGGGAAATCAAGTTGAATTACATTCAAACTCGTGTCTAAGTAGAATTGGGTAAACTTGCATACACTCATAAGTCCCATGAGCGAGTTTGAGAATGTGCTAGTTTGCATGATTTTTGGCCAAAAACAGAGTGGCTTGTGCCTTAAATGCTAGGGAAAATTTCATAAAAACATAAAATGTTCGTTTTATGAAGCAATTTTTACCTGTACTTTCATACTTTGTTATTGTGGTTTGCTTTATTATGAAGTTGGAATGTTGAATATTTATTATGCATATGGTACTGAATTCTATTTGGATACACTGAGAGTTTTTTGAAATATTATTTGTCTTGGGTAAACTCTTCAGAGTATTTATCAGTTGAGTCATGCTCCACGATTTTATGTAGACAACAATAGAAACAATATATCTTGCAACCAAGCAGAAGAGCTGAGGTGCCCCTTTTCTAGAAATTTAGCTTTACATTGCCAATCTACGTTCTTGGAATATTTTACACATTACATGTTTCAGTTCTTTGAACTCATGAGTAGGGGTTTATTGACTAACATAGCATACAGCATAGTCAAGCTGATTCTTCAGCAACAATTGACTATTGACTATTGTATATATGCCTATGAAATTGGAAAATATTAGTGGGTTTTGTATACAATAATGCTATGTTTGGTTTCCTAGAGAAGAGAATCAAAGGGGTTTGATATTATGTAAAGTGATGGAAAGAAAACAAATGAGGCCAATGATACTATATTTCCATGTTTTGGTTTTGTGAAGGATAGAATATAATTTTTTTTTTGGAAAAGAGATAGAATATAATTTGTTTCAAACGTCATAGAACAATGTGAATGTCTTACTGTGTTGTGGAGTCAGAACTGTAACTTTGAGGTGAAAAGTGAAATTTAATGCAAGTTATTCAACTAAACATCATGGTGCATGGGTCCTACAAGTTAGGGAACACAGCTTGACTTCTATTTTTCCAATCCATGTGAAGATTAAGAATGGTCGATCCCATAAATGCTGAAAAGTCAATGAAGTATCCCTATACATTTAGTTATTTTTGGATAATAAAACCAATCAAAGGATGGCACCCTTCCAGAACTTCTTTTCCTTCCTCTTCAACTTAAATGCCTTCAACTCTGAAGTCAGTGAAGAAGTATCCCTACACTTATACTTACTGCTTTATGGTCAGTTGCTTAAGAGTTCAAGAACTTAAGATATATTAGTGATTTATTTCTTCATTTTTATTGTTAAACAGGTTAGTTCACATGAAGTGATTATATGTGTACTAGCTTCCCAGTTTGCTAATCTTGGTGAGAGCATAATTCAAGATAAAATGGAGGAAAGAAACACCAAAAGACCTCACTCACTCTCAAGCCAATATATCTAGGCCAAAGAGATCCCAAGAGATCCTTTCCCAAAACCCCACTCCAAATATTCTGAATACATGCATACCCACACTACCATACTACCTACCTTTTATCCTATACTTTAGGAATATTCTAGAATAATGTCCATAACAAACTAACTAATTCCCTACTTTTAGGCCCATGGCCCATCAATACTCCCCCTTTAAAATTCACCTTGTCCTCAAGGTGAAGAGAGGAAATAGGTGATGTGAACAAACTTCCACCCGGATCCCATTGTTTGAAGTTTTTTGACCCCATGGTCAATTTCAGCACTTTTGCAACATATACTGCCAATGAATGATGCCAAATTTCTAATTTCAGGATTCCCAAATTGGACCTGCCAATGAAATTCCAGTTCTGCGCTCCTGTCACATTAATACTTCTTGGACCATTTTTGTTAACTCCATATTGCCCAGCACTTCCTAACCAGCCCAGCCCAATTATTCCCCATCTATTGGCTTGCATTTTAAAACTATTTGGGGCCTTGCTGTAAAAATTGGTTGCACGTGCGTGATGACTCTCCTCCACCAAAAATCTACCCAAACCCTCGTTTTGCTTTGCTGCCTTCTCCTCCAGTGCAAGTCGCCGGAACCCTGGTCCCTGCCACTCGTCGCCGTCCATCACTTTTACAGCACCTCCGCGTGAAGGCTGGGTTACAGCCCCACGATCTATGGTTTTTTGTATGTTGTTGCCCTTCGTTTTGGCAAATGGGTTGCACCACCGTCGATCCGCCATTTCTGCCTCCGTCCACCGTCTGAACCTCGCATGCCTATCAATGCTTTTGTCGTTCTCCACTAACCCTCTTTGCATAGCTCCTCCCTCTTCATTTCTTTCTTCCTCTTCAGCGTCTTTTCTGTTTTTTTCTTCCTCATCTTCTCTTTCTTCCTTTTCTGCAACTGCTTCTTCTTTTGCTTCTTTCTGTGATCCTTCTTTTTTTTTTGTTCTCTGCTTCTTCACTATTGTTTCCTTTGCCTGCTTCTTCTTGGTTTCCTTTTTCTTCTTCATTTTCGTCTTCTTTCACTTCTTCGATTTCAACGATTTGGTTTTCAACCTCTGTTCTTCCTTTTTCATCTCTGTCTATTTCTTCTTCTGTAACTGCTGCATTTTTTTTTTCATTTTCTTTTTCTATTTCTTCTTTGTTGGCTGATGCTGTTGTGTCTTCATTTGCTTCTTCTGGTCTCTACTTCGATCTCTCTTTTTTTAGCAACAACCGTTACTGCTTCTTTGTCTTTCCCTTCTTTGATTTGTTCTTTTGCTACTTTATCACCATCAATTGCTCGATCATCTACCAATAAAATTTCAGGTAAATATTTCTCTACGAACGCCTTCTCAAATTTCCTCCAGCTTGCGGTAAGATTGAACCATTTCCAACCTTGATACCAGTTGAGCGCACTCCCTCTGAGCCCTCTCACAGCTTCCCTGTATTTTTTATCTTCATTGATTCCTTCAATCTGGAAATATTTTTCCAAATCAATCAGCCATCCCCAAGCTTCGTGATCTCCTCCTTCTCCAAAGAATTTTGGAACAATTGTGAATCTGTATTTCATCATTTTTTTTTCCCAGATCTGTGGATCAAAGAGCACTCCCAGGATTGTAGTGCTCTAATACCAAATTGATGAAACCCAGAAAATTATAACTAAGTATTTACTAAATCAAGAGATTACAAACTCTAATTCAAGATAAAATGCAGAAAAGAAACACCAAAAGACTTCACTCACTCTCAAGCCAATATACTAGGCCAAAGAGATCCCAAGAGATCCTTTCTCAAAACCCCACTCCAAATATTCTGAATACATGCATACCCACACTACCATACTACCTACCTTTTATCCTATGCTTTAGGAATATTCTAGAATAATTTCCATAACAAACTAACTAATTCCCTACTTTTAGGCCCATGGCCCATCAGCCCTCAACTCTGAAGTCAGTGAAGAAGTATCCCTACACTTATACTTACTGCTTTATGGTCAGGTGCTTAAGAGTTCAAGAACTTAAGATATATTAGTGATTTATTTCTTCATTTTTATGTTAAACAGGTTAGTTCACATGAAGCGATTATATGTGTACTAGCTTCCCAGTTTGCTAATCTTGGTGAGAGCATAATTGGTGCTGCACTTCAAGAGAAGGAAGGATTTAAATGGGTAGGTTCACGAAAGCAGTTATATTTTGTAATCCAAAATATGTCATAAATTTGTCTGATCTTGCCTATTAAAGTTGTGTACTTGTGCTTAATGTATTCAAGTTTTATCTAAGACAGGATTCAAGGATCAAGTACTAAAATGCCAATTTGCTTATAAAATCAAATGTCAGTCCAATTTCTATATAATTTGTGATATGTGGCAAATTCAAAAGATTTATAATATGCGAACCATACTTTTGGATGGATCTTTTCCTTTCTGCTACATGCTGAAAATGAAAAATTAGCTGGATTACATTTTTGTCAAGGACATCAAGTATGTACTTTTCAGCTGGTTATGTATGATTACTTTATCCTTTTCTGCAGCTTAATAATGATGCAGTCAATATCATCAACATATCATTGGGAAGTATCATAGCAGTCTTAATGCAACAAGCACTCCAGAGCTGGCATCTCTAAATTTGCTGCAAGATTTTCTAGGAGTTCAATCATCACAATGCTGTGGGCCATCTTGCTAAAGTGCTCATCTAAAACACCGGCATTGAGCATTGGAGGAGTGTTCATAAAATTATTCATTTATTTGCCATTGAAAACTGACTTTCAGATATTTATACTCCTGGATGAAGCAGTCTTTCCTAACATGAGATTGGTCTGAAAGTTTATTGTGGATAGAAGCCCTTCTCTTTCTGGTCATAATCAAGCATGTCGGTTGTTAGAAAGATTAATATCAGTGGCAATCGAAGTAACAGAACTCAATAGCCTGTAACCATGATTTGAGTCTCTTGTAGATGTAAATTTCCTTTTCTTGATCCAGCTTATTGTCAAGAAATAGAACAGTTTCTCCTGAGTATCTGTGTCATTCTGTTTTTATTTCTCTTGTATTTCTAGCAGTTGGGAGGGTGAGATGGTTGGTTTGTTTTTGTTCTATGCCTTGATACATATATTTCTTTTAAATGTATGCACTCACTGAAGAGCATCTAAAATGTTAGACCTTTAAGAGAATAGTTGAAGAATTGCTTCTAGTATACTTGCATCAAATTGCATTCTTCTGTGTAAGAAAGACTATTGCAATGCTGAGTTACCAACTTCACCTCATTTAGATCTCCGCTACAAACACTGGCGATTTAAGATATGGATTATATATTCTTGATATATTGAATATGCATGTTGGGGGAAAAATAAATATTGAAATCATTTGCTATCAATAGCAATTTGATAGTCATTGTGTTTTTTAAGCATGCATGGGATTCAAATTAAATTAGGAGAAGAGAAACATTCACTTTTTAGTTATTATCAAGCACTAAGGCTAAGGCCTAATGGCTGATATTAGATAGCATCATCCTGGCTTCATAAATTAATTCAATTCAATAAAAATTAAAAAAATTAAAATTGAATATATATTGAAAAAAAATTGCTTTTGCTATAGAGATATTTTTTCTGTTACACTCATGTAAAAGTAAGTAGATTCTATTGTAAAAAAAAAAAAAAGACAAAAATATTAGGCAGCATTAAGTAAAAATATTAAATTCTATAACAAGTCTTATATCCAATCTAAATATTTGATTTATATGCAGCTAACAATTGTAATTTATTTAGTTAAATTAATTAATTAATTATTAATCTTTAAAAATTACCGCCGTTAAATACAAGTAGTTTATTTACTAAGATAAAGTGAAAAACTTTTTATTTTGGTGTAAATTGATCCACACCATTTAGATAAGAAAATAAGAAAACTGATCATATTTGATTGGATGACTTTTGGCATAAATAATTATCCAATTTAATCTGTAAACACACCTAATGAAGACATTTCCATTTTCTTTAGCAACAAAGAAATATCCTAGATACTGGAGTAATTTTCATCTAATCAACAATGAACTAATTTATTGTTATTTCTACGTCACTTTATATTACCCTCTACAGTTTTTTTAAAAGAAATAAAAACTTGTGTTAATTTCATTATTTTTTAGAACAATTTTGCATTAATTTATTATTTCATAGTAGATATATTCTTCTATAATGATAATCATTTATATAGTAGATATATTCCTTCCCCAGCAATCATAAAAAGTCGTACACTTGTACTCACCGCAAAACAAAACAAAACAAAAAATCATAAAAGTTGTATCGGTGCATAAATTAACCGTTCTTAAGCAAAGATCTTTTGAATAAAATTTGGCGATGGATTTCTAAGCTCTATTTTGTGAAGGAAATTACAATTTTCACACAATGGATTATAGATACTTTGGTCGCATTAAGTTAAGGTCCGTCATCATTGGCTCTGTCTTTGGTGAAGAATCTTATATATTGAATTTGGATATGAATCCTTGCCTAGTCAGCCATATCTAGAATCCTGGTCCATTTGTTGAAAAATCATATCAATAAGATTTGTCATGCATGACAGCTTCAATCAATTTTTAGCCCCACACATGCATGGAGTAACGCAGAATCTGACTACAGCTGCCTAGCACAGTGTCGGTCTTGGTGTTCCATTCTCATTCACTTAATATATACACAAGAAAATATTTGGGGAAAAAAAAGTTTATTATATAAGATTTCAGATGACTCATACTGTTGAGGATTTTTTTTGTTCAATGAAATTAAATTATTAATGAAAGGTTTAATTTCTCGCATGTCATAGGATATAAAATTAGGAGAATGATTACTATCAAGTCACTACCAATCAATCTTATCGATAGATCGATTATATTGATCCAACGGTTATATTTATTTCCATCTTTGTATGGTCATGATTCCCCAAATTTAATACTTTATATTTATTTTCACTTTTGTATGGTTATGATTTCCGATATTTAATGCTTTCACTTTAAATATGGAGAATCATGACCATACAAAGATGAAAATAAATATAACCGTTGAATCAACATAATCGATCTAACGGTGAGATTGATTGGTAGTCACTTAGTAGTAACACAACTTGGTTGTCACAATATCCTTCCCTATAAAATTATCTTATATATATATATATATATATATATATAGTTTAGTGTTTGTCATTTTAAAATAATTTATGTCATTTTAGGAGAGAGATAGGCAAAAAAATAAAAATCATAGGAGAGAGAAAGTGAGTGTTTTTTTTTTAATTTAAATTTTAAATAAATTTTTTTTTTTATATCTATCTCTCTTAAAATGACAAACATTTTTTTCATATGGGAAAAGTGTTTGTCATTTTAAATGACAGAAAGTTATGTCATTTTAAGAGAGATACAGACACAGAAAATTTGAATTTTAAATTAAAAAAAACCACTCACTTTCTCTCTCTCATGATTTTCGTTTTTCTCTGTCTATCTCTCTCTTAAAATGACATAACTTATGTCATTTAAATTGACAAACACCAAATCCATATATATAAAATATGTGAAATTTATATTTATTTTCTCTCTTCTCTTCTTTTTATATTATCCCACATGGACTCCACATATTTTTATACGTACGTAGGAAATAATTTTATTTCCTATAAAATGATAAATATTATTGAAATATCAAACCCTTTTATGAAATACAAATACTTTGGACATGTAGGGTATCCGGGATCAACAACTAGGTCAGATATACCAATCTTGAAGGAGATTTTTTAGGTGAAGTAACAATATCTTATTAATGGCTGCTGAAACTTTTATCGTAAGGAATATCCTTCTTGTAGGTCCTGTAGACTGAGATTCATTATTTCTTGGACTGATGTAGATTTTATTTTTTTTTCCAAACCTTTAAAAGGAACATACCAAATAGAAGTAAAAATAAAATAGTAGAATATTGAAAAAAAGGAGAGATATCATTCCACTTGGTCATGGTTATCAAGTATGTCCATCGTAACATAGTTCAATGTAGTTTCACTTTTATTTTTCTTTTTTTTCTTTTTTTTTTCCATGCACTAGCAAGGTGTAATCAGCAATCAAAAGAAAGAGAAAGATGATAGTTAGCGTTATCATTCATGTTTGCAATCATTTGCGTAACACTTTCCACAAATGATGGGTCCTAACATCTAGCCTAACCAGAAGTATTTGTGAAACCAAACCAATGATAAAGACAAAATACTTTATAGTTAGCGTTGGAAGGTCACTTCATGTACCCAAGATATTGTTAGTATTACCCTTTAACTTTTTCGCTTACTTGCACATTATTATCATAGTAAACTCCAGATTTATAAATATTAACTTTTAAGAACAGATCTTTGGGAATCAACTTTCATACTCCCTTTTTAAAAGATAATATAATATTACTTTTTTTTAATAACTTTATTAAAAAAATTCCCTTTTAAAAACACAATATTATATTGATTTCGTTTTTTTAAAGATTTTGTAACTTTCTATAAAAAAAACTTGTAACTTGTTTCTATGATTTATTAATAGAAAATCATTCTCTCATTTTATATAATAACTATTTTGTGTTCTTCTCACATAAAAAATTATACCACCACTTTTTTTTTTTAATGGGTGATGAATCTTACCACATTATGTATCTATGATAAGAGATACTTATCTCCAAGTAAATCAGAAAATAAAACTCTTTTATGAATTATGACAAACAATATGATGCCATAAGTTTTTTCATGATCCAGTTATATTATCATTCTTGAATCTTGACTTTTACTCAATAATACCATTCAAAGGAAACTCCATCCTTTCTAACATACCCCTCTCATAGGTGAGAATCACATTTCTAAGAAACAAATTATCATAGAATTCAAAATGACATGCATTGTGAAGGAGCAAAACCAATCCAATATTGAACAAGATCTCTATGATAACCAAATAGATGCATCTACATTGAATTCTAGAACGGTAAGTGAGAATGCTACAAGACCAAACTTAACTGAAAAGCCTTTTAAACTTCTCTGTAAGAGGGGAGCACTTAGCATCATTACCAGATAACAAATAAAAAAGTATTATCTCCAAGTTATAAATCAGAGGAAACAAATCAAAAATGCCTCCTCCGTCTTGAAAACACACTACTATTCTGAGATTGTTGCATGCTAGAAAAGTGTATGTCAGGAACAAAGAGAGCACTATCAGGTAAATGTTGAGGGTCTTTGGGCCAGTATAACCCTGAAGCTGTAGGAGGGGAAGGAATCTGAGGAACTGTCCAGGATGAATCCGGAACACGTCCCAAGTAGCCATCATCATCCATTTCCTCTTCACTGGATCTTAAAACAGGAGAATCAGAATCCCCAAGCTTATCACTGTCAGCCTGCACAAACTCATCAGGAAAAGAAGGGGTGAAAAAGAAGATCACAGAATCACACAACCATAGATAATTGATGAACATTTGTTTTACAATGTCAAAACTTACTTGAATAAATAAGCATGGATAGGCAAAAATATAGATGCAGATAAAATGTATACCTAGTGTAATCTGCCTAAGAATACTCAAAAAAATTTGAGAATAATCAATTGAATAAGATTATAGTCACAAGGAAAAAAGTCATAGTAAATTGAATGTTGAAAAACATCTGCCCTTCATATATGTCTATTGGTAAATTATTAGGGCAATACCTTCCCATATCATCATCCAAATAATATCATGTTTTTAAGCACTCAAATACAATAGGACTACTGTTTCTTGATCATGGATCACCATTGAAGAGAGCCATTCCACAGTGGTGCAGCAATAGCTCATCATCACCTTAAAGATGTTGATTTATTAATTTTTACAGCATGCAATATTCAGTTCAGAAAAGAAAGTTTATGTTTTAAGTGATAACCAACTGAATATTGCACTTCTCAAAAGGGCATGCTTTCCACTGTTAAAATGGGTTTACAAATAAGGGAAAGAAAGAAACAAAAACACAAGCACTTGAATCAACCAATCACAAAACCCCTGCTCATCACAAACTGTCAAATTCCACTACTCAAGATGCACCCAATAAAACACCTCTTCTGACCACAAATTTGCAACATAATTACTGAAACCTGTATTAGCCAGTTGTTTAGCTACGTGAGCAACATGTTAACAGAGCATTCACCCTCAGAAGACATGATCATCCCTGTCACAGTCCCTTCACCTTCCTAACTTATGCTGCTCTTGTCATACTATCATTCAATTATAATAGGTGATGGGTTAAGCCCTTCAGCAGCAATGAACATAGGCACCTTCTGCAGATCCATGTACCTGAGCCATGTACACTGTTGTGCCAGTGTGTATGCATATGCACATGCCAAAGTGTGTGTTTGTACATGCACTTTTTGTGTGTGTGTGTGAGAGAGAGAGAGAGAAAGAGAGAGAATGCAGATGTACTATAATAAGGATATTAATCCATGACAAAAGATGAATCTGAATTCTGGATCTGAATACTAACCTCAATCATAAAATAAAGCATTAAAAGTTAGAAACTCTACAAAATACAAGGCTACATTGCAACCGCGATCTGGATGGGAAAATATTATGAGGGTATATTGCAACAACTATGAACATACCCTTGATGATCCTTCCATGTAATTATAATCCTGACTGAAATCATTTAGGCCAAGAAATTCATCAATCTGCCACTGTGAGATGTTTCCAGCTGTAGAACCACCACCATAAGATACCTTAGCTGGAGGAAACTCGCCAGCTCCTCCAATGGGTAACACTTCATTGTAATCTGATGACTGGGGCATTGTAGAAACCTTTCTAGAGACAGAAGACGACTTTGTATCCGAAATTTTCTCCCCAGAATCTGACTTCAGAGAAGTTGAAGAAGCACCAGGCTCAGTGGCTTCAAGACCTACTCTTACACCAGTGAGAAGAAACCTTTGATGACCAGAGACATAAGCATTTGCAGTGTGTATTGCCAAATCACATTTTCTGCAGAGCAAAGCCCGATCCTCCAGACAGAAGAAATAGCCAAATGCTTCCTGTAAGGAGTAGCAGACTCTACCATCATCACAAGCTGATCCAAAAGGCAAACAAACGCTTCTAACTCATTTGAACTGAGCCAGCACAAATGACAAATTAAGAACGTGCTGACTCAACAAAAAAGTCGAAAATGGTTTCAGTAACATAAAGATAACCCAGACCTCATGAAAAAGCTAAAGCTTTCTTACTTCCTGTGAGGAGAAGCAACAGGTTTTCTTGACTAATATAACTACGCATGGCCACCATATCCAAGGGAAATAATTCGCTTTAGAATTTAGGGGAACCAAAAAAGTAATTAATGAATATCTCATGCACTTTCCACTTGCTAACTTGACACAAGGCTAATTAGTAACAATAGGAGACTTTGTTTTGTCCTCCTTTCAATAATCATTCATTTGGGAATTCTCTCCCAGAAATTAATCCTTGAGATTTATCAAATTTGTTAAGACCAAATTTGGTCCGACAAAATTCTCCCAATAAAATAACACGGGAAGTTACAAGATGAAGATGATCTTATTATTGAAATCCAAAAATGTAAATAAACAAATAAAACGAATACTCTTTCTATAACAATAAAGACAGAATTTATAGTAAATCTTCAAAATTTAAACTATCAATTGAAAAGGAAACTCATTTTTGAGATTACATCTTTCACTAAGACTAAAGTTATATCCGTTATGAATGTTTTCCAACGAATATAATGGGATACCATTTGTAATCAAAAGTTTCCTACCACAGACACAGAATGCAAAATCAGCAACAAAACTTGTTACAATCCAAAACAAGAACGTTGATAAAAATATTTCAATGTCTAATACTGTCATTTGATCACACCCAATGTTCTCTTTTCCATGGATTTAGCAGAGCTAATTGATTCCAAACAATAGCAGTCAAATATCAACAGAAAATCTCTCTTCTGCACTACCCCACCAAACCAAAACATTAAAAATCACAAAAGAAACATACAAAATACCTGACAAATATCACATTTGGGCATATGAGAGGAAGAGATAGAAAGAGGAACTCTCTGGTGCTTGCTGGCGAGCTTGTTCGCTGCATGAACCTTCTCATCACATTCCCAACACAGCGCCGCCTCATCAGCACAGCATAGAACCTTGGCCTCTGCAGCTTCACACACGTTGCACTGAATCTTCATCCTTATTATCTCAAACCCAATTCTAATTTCCCTTCTCCCACACCAAAGTTCCTTCCTTTCTCTCAATAAATATCTCTAACCCCCACGAAGTCTCAACCTTTATCCTCTAATATACAGAAAATAATCAAATTCAGAGAGATTCAGATAACCCCACATGAAATTGAGAGAGAAAATGATCAAAATATGAAGGGTTTTGAGGCCAACTAGCAGAGGAACAGGGTTTAAGAAGTGTGGGGTGGAAGAGAGGAAGAAAATAGAGGATATTTTTTAAGCCACGAAGCTACATGTACACGTGGCAGCAAATGCGTAGTGTCGTGGCAGAGGAGACCACCTTTGCTGTCTTCGGTCCTGTAAGAAATCAAAATCTTATAAAGAACAAAAATCTAGGATTTTATTTATTTATTTATTTTTATTATTTTTTGTGTTTTAAGTTGCACGCTTTGCTTTGCAGCACAGCACTATTGTGAAGTTCCTGTTGTTTTGATATTTTTGGCTGAGAAGATTTGGATAATAAACCTTAGTTTTTGATTTTTCTCTTTTTTTGCTTAGAACTTTTTATCTACGAAGCACCGACACTTCAAAAATTCTTACATGTCGTGTTCGACACTTCCCGACACTCTCAGACACTCCGACACCCCCCGACACTCCAACAGGCGTTATAGAAATTCAAAAAAAAGTTCAAAGGTTAAGTTGCGTTGAGTTTTTAGTTCTAACTATTAAATTCGTTGGATTACGATTACTATTTTATTGAGTTTAATATAAATATTTGGGATATCTTATGTTTCTTTGCAAAATTTATGAATATTATAAGGTTAGATACAATTTTTTGTTAAATTATTGATTATTAAATATAATATATACTATTATTTAATATCAAAACGTGTCGTAACGTGTCGAAATCTAACATTTTTTAGAATTAACGTGTCGGAATGTCGTGTCGTATCGTGTCACGTGTCCCGTGTCAGTATCTATATAGCTTTTTATCTTTATTTTTTTTGCTGACTGACTGAGAATACGTATCCGCTTATTTTGGGAAATGTTTTCATTCATGTAGGCAAAATGAGAAGGCAGAGTGTTAAGGTCATGTCCTATTGTCCCATGGAATGTAGTTTTGGAGAATTTCCAAGCGTGAACTGAAGCCCCATGGTTTAGGCAAAAAGGTGGGAAACGAAATTGAGTTCTGGCATGACTGGGATATTTTGTAGCATGACATGAGATACACCATAAGGTTTTAGGCAAAAGGATGGGGGGAAATTGTTCAAAACTTGGATCTTGGGTTAAGTGAATTGGAGCAAGAGTGGGATATTTTCTTCCATTGATAGTGAATATTCAATGTCTAGAGAATTAAATCGATCTAAACTCATTTTGCACCACACACACACAAAAAAAAAAAAAAAAAGTTAAATAAATTGTTTCTTTAAAAATTTGAGTGTTATTAACATTTATTTTTATCATATTTTATTTTATTATAAATCATTTGCATAGATAAATTTGAAAAGAAAGAAGAAGGAAAAGACAAAAAGGAAAAATAACAAACAAAAAAAATGCTTTTGGACCTGGTTTAGATCAAGTTTAAACTAGAGCTTAAAATTGCTTTAACCCCAGGCCTATGTTAGACTGAAGCATTGGCCCATTTATTTGGGCCAAATAATCTCATTACACAGTCACAGAGCACGGTGTCTCGGTTTTGTTTTCTCTGTTTCATTTAAACTTTCATTTGAAGCATTTGAATGATGCCAATCAATGTAAGAGTATGCCAACAATTAAATCAGAAAAAATAAAAATAAAAATCAGAAAAAGTATCATAATTAAAAACTGTTGGCAACTTAATAAGGCTTAATAGATTGTTTTACCACAATTGTGATGTGTTTATAATATGAATGAATAAATGAATAGTATTATCTTAACAATCGTTTCATCAATGAGGTATAAAATGTAAAACTTCAAAGAAACACGATGATCAGTCTTATTGTTAACTGTATTATCAAACAAGGTCCAAATAAGACAAGTTCTGGACCAATCTCGCAGCCCAAGATTATGGGCTGCTCCATAGAGGTACGATCAATGACTCAAGGGGTCATTCTCATGCATCCCTATAATGAGAATCATGGATCTTATTGTAGAGAATCTCTCACTTTCCAATATAGTTCACCATTGTACATATAACAATGAGGAATTGGGCAATTGGTTATAGCTCAAATGTATCATTGTTAAGGAATATTTCCCACCTGTATAAATATCTTATATTTATCATTTTTATAAGTTGTTACTCAACTAAAATACTGAGTTGTCATGCCCGTACTTTCGGCCTTCTCTAAGACATACACACGATGACTCCTCCAAAAACTTTGGTCCATAACACTTTCTCTAAGAACACTTCCATATCAATATACTTCAACCTTCAAGGAATACAAACCTAGCACTCCCATACAAACAACTCAACACATCAAAAAAGCTCCAAGGCTGTAATATCTGAAAAGGTTTGCATCTATTTCTGTTTGTATTTTTATAGGAAATGGAGAAGAGATTGCAGTAATGCCTCCCAAGGGGTATTGATGAATTATGACGTATCCCTATATCAGTCTTCTAAAGGCACAAAAAACGGTAATTTGTGTTTAAGATCACCTAATTACTAAAATAAAATAAAAATTACAGAGAGGTTAGCTTATGTAGCACATAATCTGACAGGCAAGGGACTGGCATATTTTGTCGTGTAAATGGATTGCAAGTGCACTTTTTACACTAATAGCACCAAAATACAATAAACATGTTCAAGATGGCTTTTATTTTATTTTTTATTTTATTTATATTTTGCAGACAAAAAGGGCTAAGCCCAAACAGGAAAAGAAACACACCTTTAACCTACAGAAACCAAACGGGATACCCCAGCATGATCCGCGATGTACAATAACCTAATAGTCTAATACCAGAAGGAGGACTGCTGAATTCCACTGGATCCTCAAGATTGTTGTCATTAAAGATGGCTTGTTTTTAACTATAACAAAGGGGGTATAACAAAGATCTTGATCCCTTCATGGAGACAGGTATAAAATGTCCTACCAAAGGATATAAGAGGAGATGCACTATTTATTAGCAAAATGACCTGACTATCCGATGACTTCCCATTATGAAAATACTCCCCATTGGAGCTTGAGTGATACGTACATCAGAAACTTTATCTTCCTCGATTTTAAAGTCAATTCAGCTTCATATTTAGGTATTGAATATTAATGCACAGGAGACTCTGAATTGCATTGTAGCTCAACTCTTAAGAAGGAATGGGACATTGCAGGCTTAAAGCCATGTCAGCTCATGCGGCCTAAATTTTTCCATTGCACAAACACACATCCTCCGACAAAACTTGTGTATCCTCCTGATGATTGACATGCTGTGAAATTTACTTTACTTCCCATCTTTTCTAGTTATAACAACTTATGAGGCAAGAAAACTTTCAGACTCGGTGCTCTGGAAGATATTTCAATGATATCCCCATCTTGGATGGCATAGTTGACATGAGAACCATCAATATATATCACTCCTTTTTTAGAAGACCATGTAGTGTCTATTGTTTGGTCATGTTTAATCAATCCATGCATAAAGTCTGACACTGCCCCAGGTGAAATAGGCTCCCTTACCATGTACTGGAGGTCCTGAGATAAAATGGGCATTGGAAATCCACCTGCTGAAAGCATTGCAGCTGTTGAACCAGCAGCTGTTGAAATTCTTAGACCACTTGATCTGCAGTTAACTAGTGGGGAACATGGCTGATCATCTTGTGTGATTCTGCAAACATACATGCTTAATTGGATTCTTTTCATTTTCTATTATCTTTTCATCCCCTTTTCTTTTATTTGGGGAATGGGAGACAGAGAATTAATGCTCTGAAATGAAAATAAGAAAGACATGAATCAAAGACTTTTGGATATCTCATAAGGAAGCTTTTACCTGAAGGAGAATCTAGAAAGTGAAGCAGGACATGGATGTGCAACTAGAATATCATTGAGAGCATAAGTTGACAAGTGTAGTGCATTAACAGAAATCATTATCCTTGTTAACTTGGAAGGAACAAATTGACCTTCAAGTATACCATCTAAAACCTGGAAAAGATTTAAAATAAAAAAATAATAATAATAGAAGAAAGATTATACTGAAAGCAGCTAGCCAGCTACAAGAGTGTGTTTACAGTTGTTCAACGTTCAATGAAAAGGATGGAATGAAGGAAATGACATAGAGAAAAATGAAGTTCAAAGTGCTTTAATCTGTTAGAATGATATGGATTGAAGCATTGTAAATTACAAGAAAGTTTCTTCCATCTGATCTTACAGAAGGGCTGTAGATCGAGGAAATAATTTAATTTTCCCAATTTGAAGATATGTACTAAGAGCATGAATTATTTCACTAGAAATAAGCATTTCATGCTGAATATTTGTACATAAATCGAACCAGTCACATAAAAAATTTAGTAACACAGCAAGTAAACTTTAATTTGGGGAAACAACATAGTGTTTAGTACAAATTAGAAATTTAAAAACTTCTATTTTATGAATAGGTTCCCCTTCAAAATATATCCCCACATGTGCTGCAGGCTTGCAGCTCATCAATTACTGGACTAGATTGGTATCGACTTGTAAGTTTGACAAAAATAATTGAAACCTACATCAAAGTTGAGTGGTCAAAAAAGTATTTAAAAAGGATGGAAATGGATTGGACGCACATTTATGTAGGCTTTTCTCATCTCTGATCATTGATTAGAGGTACATCCTGAACCTCTAACCAGTCCTATCTTTAATACATGCTAAACTGGCTCTGAAAGGTAAGTTACAGTATAATGATTGGCTTCACAGGAGTAATTAAAGGTTCATCATTATAACAATGTCATCAAATTAGAACATTTCATGTTACTGCATATTCAAGCTTTCATTCAACAACATGCTAGCCTCTACACCCTCAAGGCATAGTAAAAAGAAAAAATGGTTACTGCTAATATTTCCTCTAAAGGTAGAAAAGAGCTAATCTTACTTGTTCAAAATTTTCAACAGTTGCAGAACAAAGTTGGCCAGTGCTTCTGGTAACATCAAACTCACTGCTGAACTGTTCCACCTGTTGCAATGAAATATGACCAAAATAGGTTACCCGGTTGAGTTTGTTCAGTTGCTTAAGCAAAACTGAAATCGACATTTTTCCAAAAGATGATCAAATGAATTGAACTCTGAAGCCAATATATCAATACTAAAACCAAAAATACGTGCACACAAACCTCATCAAATCGGGTTGGGTCAGAATTCACTCCAAGAACAGGAATTTTGTTATCCATGAAATGGCTGGTCTGCAGAAGAGTTCCATCACCACCAATTGTTACAACAAGGTCCACATCATTGATCGGCTGTGACAAATCATTACGCATCACAGCTTTCCATTCAACTGACTTTTTCTGCAGAATTGCTTGACAAAAGTTTATGGCATCATGGTGCACCTTATGCCTACTATCCAAGAATTGTAAGATCTGCAATTTTTCCAACAGAATTTAAATTTCAAATCACATGAGAAAGAATTACAATTATGCCTATTATCCAAGTAATAAGCCAAAAATCCTGGAAGCATCCCTTATTAAGTAAGAATTCACATATGCGTTGAGTTCCTGAATACTCCCACTAGAATCAAATCATAAAATTCAGTTTATCAGAATCCTCACTCTTTCTTATATATATAACACATAATTATTTTCTCAGTTCTAGTTCATTTGTAAGAACAGAAGCTTTGGCACAACAGTTAGTATTGTCATTTTATAACCCCAAGGTCACACGTTTGTAATCAACCTCTTGCAAATGTAAAGTAAGGCAGCCTACTATAGACACACACAATGAATTTGACCTTTATAAAGCTCATAAAACGGTAGCTTTATATCATCAGGTTTCCATTTTTTAGTTCATTTGTATGAAATTACAAACCTTCTTTTACCAACATACACAAGCACATATGAATAAGCAATGAGCATTCACCTAAATCTTTTCTAGGTTGAGATGAAAACGGGAAGGTGGAAAATAGCAATATAGCTGGACATATACATAAAAACGTTTCATGTTAAGATTTCCCACCGGCCCATTTTCATTTTGACTCCAACCAAGCATAGCCTAACATATCCCCCACTTTAACATTTTAACAAGCAAGATGCGTGCAAAATGGTCGGAAAGTGCTGAACCAAACCCTTAAACAGTGGATACCTAGAAGACTCAATAACAAAAGCAAAACCATCACAGGATGTGGATAACCAAGCTGAATCAAAGAGATGATCAAACGAAGAGGGTGTAAACATGGAGGGTGCAGCCAAAATTGAGAAGAAGCTTTCATTACCTGAGGGTGGGAGTGGGAAGGTGGTACATAAACACCAAAGGGTTTTAGAAGAAGTAACAGTCTCTTCATCACCATTTGCTTTTGCTCTCTCAACTTTCCTCAAAGTGTCTATGTAAATTGCAAGAGCAGACAAACAAGCAATGCATCTTTTGTTCATATATATATATATATATATGGGTAATACTTCTCTCATTTAACATGAGAGAAGTTTTTTTCCTACACTAACAAAAAATGTGGAGCCTACAAGTTAAAAAAATTAAAAAAAAAATAAAATTACAGGCACGTCTTTTTATGTCTCACTGACATGAGATAGTTATCTCCTACAGTTGGAGAAAATTATTTCCCTATATATATATATATTACATAAATAATGTATTTTTAAAATTTTATTATTAAAATAAATATTTTTTTAATTCTATAGGTTTAATTCAGAGTTTGGAATCCAGATCTAAAGCTTTAAATTCTTTTCAAACATATATACCGGAAGAAAGAAAGAATATATGTTCTTGCTCCTTACTTGTTCAGCACATATGCAATAACTGAATTACAATTATTTGATAATAAATAAATAATTTTAAATAATATCTTAAACTATTTTTTTATTAAGAGAATTATGTCAGTTTGGCATGATAAGATTCTCCGAAGAATAAATAACTAAGTTTATATTATTTATAGAAGTATATATAAAGATTAAATCTTAAAATAGAAAGATTAAATATAAAATCAACTTGTGGTATAATTAACTTACGAAATAATATTACAGCTATTGTAATAATTTGATGATTTGGCGACGAGTTCAATTCTTGTCATTTTTGTTCTTTTTGTTTGATAAATTTGTTCTTGTTCTTTTAAATAAAACTAAAATTTATTGCAGGATCAAAACAAATAAATTTTATTAAAAAAAATTCTATTATTTTTTTAAAACAAATTAAAATTTTAAAGTAATTAATTCATGACAAGAAAGATAAAGGGAAAAGGTAACTAATTATAGAAAAATCATAATAAAAAGCAACTACTTCTATCATTTTAAAATACTAATAATACATTTTTTCGACATGCTTTTTTTTAATATATTCTTTATTGATGAGTGAATTTCCAGTAGATTCTGTTAAGTAATCTAGATTTACTCTCTATTTATTTGAACTCACAGAAAATTTATTTAATAATAAAAAACATGTTATTAGTATTTTTTTTCCCCTTTAATATGAACTGCATTGTTGTAATTACCAATTTTTTTGCGTAGAATCTTTTACTCAAATTCACAAAACAAAACATCCTATGTCATCTGAGTTTAGGCAATTCTACTCATACTAAGATAAGGCATCAGTGCTACTGAAACAAAATTTCATCCGAGTGTAAAAGATAAATTTATACGATTTGTAAGTAATACTTTTAAAAATTGCAACAATTTAATTAGCAAAGTAAAAATAAAAAAAGAAGGGGCCGATATACTTACCACCAAAAAATTTTATTACTCTTACAACTAACTTAATTATCGTTGATTTCTGTCAATCGAACGGTTATAATTTATTAAGAATTAATAATTAATTAATAAGTGTGATTCAATAAATATTATTAATTTCAGATAAATTATAACTGTTAGATTAACGAAAATCAATATTTATTAAATTGATTATAAAAGTGATAAACTTTTTTTTAGGTGGTAAGTGAACCTGTTCCAAAAAATAGATACATACAATTATTAAAGATAATAATAACCAAATCCAAATTTACAACCCAAAACTTGACTCCGTTCCGGTCCAATTCAAATCCCCGCCAAAACCGGATCGACCCAATCTTGACCCACCCGTTTATGGGTCCATCTATGATTTATCTGAATCGGACCTAACCCAGTTTTCGTCCACTTACACGCATGAGCATCGGGTTCAATCTCCTCAACCCTAATTCTGCCGGAGCATCCGATCGGACTCTGCTATAATCCGAACACCGCAACCACCTTCTCTCGAACTCTCTGTAAGACAGCATTCATTTAATTCAACTTTTTTTTTCTATTTAAATAAAAAATAAAAAGAAAAAATTTCTCCAATTTGATAAATTTAAGAAGTTCCTTAAAATTCATGCATTTAATAAGTGTTTTTCTTCTTCAGAATCTTCAATAAATTTATATGGCTTAAGATTAGTTGAATTGCAAAATTTTGATATTGGTGTTTCATAATTGATGGAACTTTTGAGATCCCTTTTGCTTTCAGGTTGTGATTTCTTTTTTTTTTTTTTATATATTTTTTTGGAGGTTTTTTTCCAAATTGGAAATCAACTTTGTCTTAATGATTTTTGGGGGGTTCATGTTCAATTTACAATGTGTATGCTATTGCTAAGTAATGCATATCCAACCAAAGTGTAGTTGGGATTGGGAATGAACTCATTGAAGATCCCTTTCACTGGCCTGGTTTTTTTTGTTCTTGTATTTTGGATTGACAAAGTGGGGAAATTAAAGGGGAAAAATGAAGAATGGGGAAGCAAAGGGAAGAGAATGGGGCTCGTGTGTAATGGATTTCCTTATTTTTGATTGGGTTTAAAATCTTCTAAATTGGGGTAACTTTGAAATGATAATGAAAATAAACTAGGGAGAGTTTGGAGGATCACATGAAAATCCTTTAATGCTTTGCTTTTTTATAAATATTAAGGTTATGCTTTTTTTGTTCCTCTTATTTACAACTTTTAGGTAGTTTTTGTATGATTATTTCATTAATCTTGTTCCATCTATTTTGTTGACTTACCTACTAATCTACTTATTTTATGTGGCAAGCAGATTATTTCTAGTACCAAGCCTATTTGATGGAAATATCAAATGATTCAGGCGTAAAGAAACCAAAAAGGCTAACATCTGTTGTCTGGAATCACTTTGAAAGGGTTAGGAAGGCTGACATCTGTTATGCTGTTTGTGTGCACTGTAACAAGAAACTTAGTGGATCAAGTAACAGTGGAACTACTCATCTGAGAAATCATTTGATGCGATGTCTGAAACGGTCAAACTTTGATGTGTCTCAACTCCTTGCAGTGAAGAGAAGGAAAAAAGATAATACCGTCAGTGTTGCAAGTCTTGGTTTTGATGAAGTTCAGGGGAAAGAAGAATACATAAAGCCAACAATCATCAAGTATGAGCAGGATCACAAGAAAGATGAAATCATTAACTTTGGGGGTCGTAAATTTGATCAGGAGAAGAGTCGACTTGATCTTGCACACATGATCATATTGCATGGATACCCTTTGACCATGGTTGAACATGTGGGATTCAAGGTCTTTGTGAAGAACCTGCAGCCTCTCTTTGAGTTTATGCCAAATTGTGGTGTAGAGGTTTCTTGTATGGAAATCTACAGGAGGGAGAAAGAGAAAGTGTATAACACGATAAACAAACTACATGGTAGGATTAATCTGTCAATTGAAATATGGTCTTCAGCTGAAAATTCTTCATATTTGTGTGTAGCTGCACATTATATTGATGATGATTGGACGTTACAAAAGAAGATCCTGAACTTTGTCACACTTGATCCTTCTCATACTGAAGACTTGCTTCCAGAAGTGATTGTTAAATGTCTCAATGAATGGGATATCGACTGTAAGTTGTTTGCCTTAACACTGGATGATTGTTCCACTGACGATGGCATCACTCTTAGAATCAAACAGCAAGTGACTGAGAAAAAGCCTTTTTTGTGTACTCGTCAATTACTTGACATACGCTCTGCAGCACATCTCATAAATTCCATGGTTCAAGATGCCATAGATGCACTGCATGAGGTGATCCACAAGATTCGAGAAAGCATCAGGTATATTAGAAGTTCACAAGCAGTACAAGGAAAATTTAATGAAATTGCTCAACAAGCTGGAACTAACTCTCAAAAGGCCCTGCTTCTTGATTTTCCAATTCATTGGAAGTCAACATATCTCATGCTTGAAACGGCATTAGAATACAAGACTGCTTTTTCTCTCTTCCAAGAGCAAGATCCCTCTTATTCATCATTCCTAACTGACGAAGAGTGGGAATGGGCGATTTCGGTTACTGCTTATTTGAAACTTTTAGTTGAAATTACCAATGTCTTTTCAGGCAACAGATTTCCTACTGCAAATATATATTTCCCTGAGATTTGTGACATCCATATCCAATTAATTGACTGGTGCAGAAGTTCAGATAATTTTCTTAGTTCCCTGGCATTGAAGATGAAAGCGAGGTTTGATAATTACTGGAGCAAGTGCAGTTTGGCTTTAGCAGTAGCAGCTATATTAGACCCCCGGTTTAAACTGAAGTTGGTTGAATACTACTACTCCCAAATTTATGGGAGCACTGCTTTGGATCGTATCAAAGAGGTTTCTGATACAATCAAAGAACTTTTTAATGCGTACTCTATCTGTTCAACGATGGTTGATCAAGGCTCAACCTTGCCTGGCATCAGCTTACCTAGTACAAGTTATGATGTTAGGGATAGACTAAAGGGCTTTGACAAATTCCTTCATGACATGTCACAGAATCAGAGCATAGTATCAGACCTAGACAAGTATTTGGAGGAACCAATTTTTCCTCGTAATTCTGATTTTGACATATTGAACTGGTGGAAAGTCCACATGCCAAGGTACCCAATCTTGTCTATGATGGCACGTGATGTTCTTGGGACTCCAATGTCAACAATGTCACCAGAATTGGCATTTACCACTGGAGGGAGAGTGCTAGATCCTACTCGTGCTTCATTAAACCCTGATACACGACAGGCTTTAATATGCACACAAGATTGGCTCCGAAATGAATCAGGAGGTATGTACTTATATATTCCCCCCCCACAATGAATAACCATGATTGTTGGCTTTTCTCTGATTCATTATTTTTACTCTAATATCTGCTCAGATTTATATTCATCCTCAAGCCATTTTACTCTACCGGTTCTCATCGAATCAAATTAAGTTTTCCATGATACAAGTCGCTACAATTTATAAGGGTAAGGTTGCTCCTTTGTAACCAGAAATGCACGATTTAGATCATAGGAAATAGTCACTTTGCAAAAATGCAAGTGCTACATCCAATCAACCATCACTCCTACCCTCACAAAGTCGGGGCTTTTGTGCAATGGGTTTGCCCTTTATGCTTCAGTACAACTTGTGTCATATTTTCCTAATCTCTCCATATCCCATTGTTGAACATTTTGCTTTCTACTTAATTATGCCTGTGTTGCAAGGTTGATGGATCTGTCAGCTCATAAGATATCTTTATCATTGTTTTACAATTTCAGGTCTTATCCAAGACTAAGGAAGGAAGATATCTTACAGTTGTCAAGTGGGCCTTTCTTGCAGGGAAGTGGTCTAGCTAGCAAATATTCTATGAACAAGCAATGTATATTCTTAGAACAACGAAGCAAATGCTTGTGTATATGACTACATGTTAAAGTTTATCGAGCTTTTGCCTGTAGAGCTGTCACCTGTTATTGGACTTTCGATTCAGATGAATCTGAATTTGTACAGAGGGTTGCATGCCCTTTAATATCGAAATCGCCCCTTGCATAAACCTTTTCTCTTTGTGTATGGTTGGCACATAGAGAATGATCTGCTTGGATGGAGATCCTCTTACAATGGCATCGTTTTAACTGTCATTTCATCTCAATCATCATGTACCAAGCGAAATTCTTATATACAGTGTATCACAGCCAACGAGTAAGACTGTAACATGTATTGTCAGATTGATTTTAAAGTGATACTGTACACAAAGTTTAAATTAATTGGTTCCAAAATAAAATAAAAACTGAATCAATTAAGTCAAGGTAAATCATAAGAACTGTGGTGTTACAAGTATTTCCAGTGACTTGTTAATTGAGCTCCCTAAAACAACTAACAATTATTAATCCTCTCAATTTTGTTTCAGTTTATAGCTTTTGCTAATCGTTAAAGGGGTTGGAAAGTTGGTCTGACGTCTTAATGAACAGATACATGATATGTTTTAACTGAGCCACTAAATGAATCTTCAAGTTACATTCTAGCTTGAGGCCCATGACAAACTGACCAACAGGCTAAGTCCTTAATTACTGGTTGAACTGATTATCCGTTTATGACCAAAAAATTAAAATAAAGGGAATCACATCGTTATATCCCGGAGCATTCAATTATTCATGCTAGTCTTTATCTCAAGAATCTATAATTGCTCCCAGTCAACAATGTTCCTTAGGGGGCGTTTGGTTGAGGATAAATTTTAAGAATACTAGGGAAATGTAATTGATAGGGAAATGTTGAAAAATGAGTTTGGTAGGAAAATGTAAAAAAAGTTGTTTGGTTGGAAAAAATTTTACTGGACAAATTAGATAAGATTTATAAAATCTATGTTTGGTTTGAGGTAAAATATAGATGGGAAAATAAGTGACAATTACGAAAATATCCCTGTTTTTAAAAATTTTGGGAAAATAAAAAAATTTGTAAATTAGAGAACCACCGGCTATATTAATGTGATTGCTCACTAAACACTATGAATTTAACTCAATTTACTTTTAATTTTTCGATCATTATATCAGGCTTCAATATATATGCATAATTCTATTCAAATTGATCCACAGGTGAACTGAGCAGTGAGCACTAGCAACCATTTCCTCTGGTTGCGGCTACCCAAAAACATGAAGGCAACTTTAACCAAATTGACTTTTTGGATGATCTTTATCCTTGCATCAAATTCATCAGATTACAGGAGGATAAGATAAGGGGCATTTCCGTCTTAGTTGGATATTGCATTTTTTAACTTGCCTTGCCATTTGCAAATACCATCTCCAATGAGGTTTTTTCAAACAGTGATTTGAGCATCATTTTACACATATATATGCATTACTGGGGAAACCGATTGCCTATTATTATTTTTTCCAAAACTTCTACCAAACATGGTGTTACTAAATACCCACTTTCATTTCCCCATCAATTCCACAACAAACCACCTACCAAACATCCCCTTAGTACTTCCTCCTCCATACCTAAGGAATCCCTCAAAACCCAACAAAGGAAAAAGGATTATTGTGGTATGTAGGTCCGTTTTAAAACTATCCGTAATGTCTGAGTGTGCTACTTGGGTGTACGACAGGACCATAGAGATTTTGAAATAGGATACACTGTACAGACTATTATGGAAAATGATGTTGACACTTATTTTTTCCACACTTTTCTTTACACCACCCTTATTAAACAAAAAAAACAAAAAAAGGCTTGAAAATGTATTAAAAAATACATTTTTGTTTTATTATTAAAAAATTGTGTAAAAACAATATGCAAATAATATTGTTCAACTTTTATAGCAATATTGTTATATAAGCGATTAAGATCTCCATATCATATAAGAAAAAGGAATATACAAAGAGAAAAAGTAAAGCATATAAAAGAAGAATGTAAGTCAATATTATTATGCTATCCGTTTGTCAGTCAAATTATTAGACACCCAAAAATAATTTTGGATCCTAGGAAGCCGCTATAGGCTTACATTCTAGATATGATATATCATATGAAGAAAATTAAATCTCCTTGGAAAAATTAATAGGTAGCAAACAACTAGTTAACGGGTTCTAATTAGGTTTGTTTTTCTCTTCCTTACTTGCAATTGGTCATGGCATTGAAATGAAGTTTGACCCATAGCATCTCCTTCAATTAGAAGCCGAGAGTGGAGGTCACATTTGTCTACTTGAAATTTATTGTTACCATAAATTGGTGGCAAGATTGAAAGGAAAAGTGGAAAACCATTAGTATCCATTATGTAAAAAAGAACAAACAAATCACATCTGAGATCCCATTTGTCTCGTATATTCTTAACAAGTAAACCATTTTCTCAAAGTTGGCCATTTATGAATTTGAAGAAAAATTAACAAAGGACCCTCACTACATGACCTGATTTGACTCTGCTTTACTTGCACTTTTACCCGTCTTTCTTTTGTTTTTCTCCACCTGCTTTCAATGTTCAACTTTCGTCTACGTACCATAATTTTGTTCAAAGCTCGACTCGAACCTAATCAACGTGCCTAACAAACGGAAGGTCCATTTGATATTGATGTACTTCCTTTAATAGGGGAAAATCAAGAGAAGAAAGACAAACGAAATTTTCTCTCTTCAAATTAGTTAGGTAGCTTTTAGAATCTAATCATGTACATGATAAGTTGGTTCAACTCGTTGAGTTGGTCCATTTAATCCACCAACTTGTTTAAAACTTGTCTCGTATAAGTTAAGGTGAAAACAAATTGAACTCGTTGATCCATCGAGTTTTTTATTTTTTAATAAAATCTTAGTCATTGATTCTCATAAAATCTCTTTGTTTTTTATTTAATATTATTTCTCTAGGTAACACAAGTTTTCAAAAAAAAAAAATTCACATTTTAAATATATAAGCGAGTTGATAGAGTATGGTGGATGAGTGGAGGTTTTCAACCTACTTTAAAAGCGGGCGGGTTGACTCATTTTAAAACAAAATGAAGGAATGACGGTGGCTCTTTTTACTATCTCTACTTGTCATAATTAGAAATTACACCATTAATTTAAACAAATCTAACATTTATTACTTGATCTGAACACAATATATATATATATATATATATATATATATATATATATATATTAAAAAAATTGAACATACCTCTTTAATTAATATATGAATTTTATTTTGACGTACTTATAAAAAGTTTTTATCCATCGCTTTATCTAATTATGTGCTGTTATCTTATTTAATATATTTGACATTGCATGTAATTATTAACATAATTAAATGCGTTAAATAAACAAAGAATCACCATAAAATTGAGTAATAATGTAAACATATTTTACATTGACATCAAACTAAAATTGAACTCTAAATTTAATCTATGCAAATCTCTTACGAAATTACACAAACGTAACTCTCTTAAAATAAATTTTATATCTCTAATTTACTTTGTCTATGGTCTGAGAGGAATTATTATTACTTTTATAATTGGAAAGAGGCCTGAAATAAGTTGAGCATTTTAACATTTAGAAATTGGGGAATTATCCATTTACAAATTTTTTTTACAAATTACACTAAGTATGCCCGGTCATACACTCTTGATTGAAGTATGACCGGTCATACTTAGTGTAATTTGTAAGAGTTTGTAAACAAAAAGTTTGTAAATATAACTTTCTTCTTTGAAATTAGCATGTCCCAAAATAATAGTAATAACTACGACAACAATTGGTGACCACAAAATGCTATGGTCAATATGTAGAATCTTGTTTGTTGGTGGGGGAGAACTAAAGTTCGGGGTCATGCAAGGGTTCCGTCATTGCAGGCAGCAACAGAAAAATCCTAAAATCACTATTAATTACTTTGGTTTCATGAGTGATGATTCTCGTTGTTGACTTCGTCTCTATCCATCTCCACCACCACAACTCTATGTGTCTGCCTTTTCAAATTGTTAGTCTGCCTTTTCAAATTGTTAGTTTATGTTCATAGTGGACGCATCTTGAAATTGGAAAGGAGCCCCTGGTTTTCTAAATGACGAGTACATTTTTTGTATAACGGGAGAATAGATACTTCGTTATTAAAAAGAAAAAAAAAAGGCCTTAAGAGTTTCTCAAAGAAGTTGAGGGCTCTTTTCTGACCCTAGTAGAATACCGGTGTCTAATCCTACTCAAACTTTCAAATACCAAAAAAAAAAAAAAAAAAAGAGAGAGAAGAGATATGAAAAAAAACATAACCATAAAGATAGGAATAATATAAATGTATTTTTTTTTTATCATATTTAGTAAAAAATGTACCAAGTCATAGTAGTGAAAATATTTACCTACATGACGCCTTTATCTACAAATTTCTACTTTACACGTAACATAATTTAAAATTATAAGCATGCATATTAATCATTTTTTTATTAGCAGCACGTTAATCAATTTGATATATGAAACACAGTATAATCTCACCCTTTCTTTACGAGAAAATAAGGTCAACGCATATCTCTTTTTTATATTAATAAAATAGTAATATTATTTTAAGTTGGTATTCTTAAACTTTGGTATACCAAGGGCAACACTTGTAAGTCAATTGACAAGGAATTGGATTCTCCTTTGTTTGAATTTTATAAACGACTAAAAAAAATAGGCGCTGGGGCCTAAGAGAGCTTTCTTAAATGAATTCACATTCGATTCAGATTAGTTAAAGCTTAAATGACAAACGAATTTCAAGAGTCTCAGACAAAAAATAATATAAAACAAACGAAACCTTGAAAGTTTTAGATAGGCATATTATTTTTGTTTAGATGAACAACATTATATCATCTGCAATTTAAATTTAAATTTTTACGCTTACAAAATAGTGAAACGCTCAAGCTTTTTTGTTACAAATATATTATAACATAAAATTATTCATTTGTCTAAGTTAAAATTTTTTTGGGAGAATTGGTTACTTAATATGATTTCAGAGCATCAGTAACCGAATAGTCCGATTATTATCGCCTCACTCTCAAGTCAAGTAGGTAGTTAGATAAGCCTATATATACTCTTGTATAATGGGATATATTAAACAGAAAAATATTTCTGTTGTTAATGCAGATAAGTTATCTGCATTTATTATCAAAATAATGTTATTTTGAGATTGAAAAATTAAAAAATTTAATTATAAAGATTATAATAACTCTAAAATAAATTAAAATTATAAAAACACCATGATTTTCGTCCCAAAACGATG